TAAAAAATTAAATTTAGCAGCTGAAATAGTCAAACCAAACTATTGGGTTATTAAATATGAAATGTCCGATTTTCAATCAAAATTTATTGTATCTCAAGAAGCAGTACAATTAAAGTATGGACCTAAACTGTCGACACGGTTTTGCCATCTTAATGGTAGTTTGCTTATGCCAGCAGTGAAGAGCCTGGAGTCCAAGTGGCAATGAAATTGCAAAAGGCATTTTCTACAGCTTGTTGAGAAATGAATATTTTTCCTTGCAAGAAATGGTCCAAAGCCTGGAGGAAGTAGTAGTCAGTTGGTGCAAGGTCTGGTGAATAGGGTGGATGACAGAGAGTTTCCAAGTCCAGCTTCCGTAGTTTGAGCAGCAGTGTTTTTTGTGACATGTGGTCTTGCAAGAGGATTGGCCTGTCTCTGTTGACCAATCTTGTGTGCTTAATTGCAAGCATCCTCGTTATTTCGTACAGTTGGTTGCAGTAGACATGAGCTGTAATTCATTGACCAAGTTTCTTGAAGCCACAGTGGATAATACCAGCGCAGGACCACCAAACAGAAACCATTAGCTTTCTGTGATGAATATTCGGTTTTGGAGTGTGTTTTGGCACTTCATCTTTATCCAACCATTGTGTTGAATGCTTGCCATTGTCAAAAGGAATCCATTTTTCAACACAGGTAACAATATGGTGTAGAAATGGTTCACCTTTATGTCGTGACAGCAAAGAATGGCAAGCTTCAAGACGATGTCCCTTCTGATGCTCATTTAATTCATGTGGTACCTATCTATCCAGATTCTTTACCTTGCTGATTTGTTTCAAATGGTCCAGTATTATTGGAATAGTAACATCAAACCTTACTGCTAATTCATGCATAGGTTGAGATGGATTCGCTTCCACTACAGCTTTCAGCTCATCATTATCCACCATGGTCTCAGGTCACTGACATGGCTCATTTTCAAGATTAAAATCACCAGAGTGGGACTTCTCAAACTGTTCATGTTCTGTGCGTTCATTAACCACATCCTTCCCAAACACTTCGTTGCTATTTCGAGCTGTCTGTGCTGCATTAGTTCCACAAAAGAACTCATATTCAGAAATAATGTGAATTTTTGACTTATCCGTGGTTTTACAAAAATTGCTCTAAAAAAAAATTTGAAAGATCACAAGCCAAACTGTTACGGTTCGGAGTGCGAGAAAAGACCACCTAAGACTGAAACTGAACCAAATTGTGAGTCTTTATTAGAAGGCCAGACCAGCGACTACCCTCTCCTACGCCACAGACGGCTGCAGAGAGCAGTGCCGAGCTGTAAAGCAGGGTGATTTTGTACTATTCTGGATTGGAGGTTACGTGACCATAGACACACAAATTGGAACATTATTGCATCATGTTTTCCATAGCTGTGGGGTCCAGGACCAGCCTCGGACCACCTGTTCCGATAACATTCTTTAAGCAAGCCAGTTTACAAAAGCAGATAGCATCAGTTAACTCAGTACATTCTTCTATAGATTAAGTATAGTAAAATTTTAACTACATGCAGCTGGACAGGGGAGGCAATCAGTTACAAGTTAATTGCTTTGTTTATCTTCTACAAGGTACAGATTATTCACGGGTAAAGTTACAAAGTAACTTTGTCTCCATCATGGAGACAGGAGTCTACAGGCAGCCATGTTAGGCCCTAACAAAACTAAGCATTTGAAAGAATAAGCACGTACTTTTACAATAAAAAACAAAACAAGCAGTGTCAAAGTGCAACATCAGAGATATCAATTGTCAAACTTAGTACTTATGGAAATCGGACATTCCATACTTAATAACCTAATATATTCATTTCTCAACAAGTTGTTAAAATGAACTTTCTGTAGAGTTTTGGTAATTGTAAAAGAGTTGGTTATATTATTGGAAACAGCAAGCTGGCTCTTTATGTAAATGGGTTGTTCGAGAAACCAGAAAATAAGTATATTAAATGATGAGTGGGCATAGTGTCTGACTAGATAAGTACAATGTTTGTCATTGGATTTGAAATACATTGTTAGCTGAGGATACAGGGATGTGCATAGAACAGTAATCTAGATATGGGTCTGTTGCTTGGTTGTTTTTGTCTGTCTTCCTTTTCCCATTTGATCTATCCTACAGGCCCTGGAAAATTATTAATCTCAGAGCAACACTGCTCACGTTCATATGTTGATTAACAACTTGTGATTTCTTAGAAAATCTGGTCCAAACACCTTTGATATTCAAAGTTTGCTATGATCAGGCTTCTAGTCACCTTTCCAGCTTACCTACCAATTCTCCCATGAAATTTCTCCATGTTAGCCAGCCTGTTCTTATTTTTCTCAAATGTGTCATAAGCATTTCTGCCATTATACTTATTCACTGACCATGCCTGTGACAGGTGTGTTTTTCCTTGCCTCTCCACTTACTTGAGGTCTAAGCATGCTTTAAGGCCAAGCTCATGTCCTATTTTCTCCTCAGAGTTTTCCTAGCCAATTTGCTTTTTTGTCTTTTAGTTATTCTGTCATAATTTTTTTTAGTTATTCTCTCTTTACCACTCATTCAGTACTCACGTTACAGTACGTTACATATTGTGTGTGTGTGCGTATATTTGCGCACGCGTTATCTGCACATAAACACAAACTTCATATTACACGTAATGGAGTTTTTTTGTGTGTTTTCATTTGTTTTACTGCTTTTTTTTTGTTTTTTTTTTTTTTTTTTTTTTTAGTTACTTAGCCAGATGGTACACTCTTGAGGTCAGGGACATCTACAATAATAACATTTAGTCAAATGTTTATCATTGGAATAATCCTGTATTTGGTCTATTAGCAATATTTTTCAGGGTTACCATTTGATTTTTTTTTTTTTTTACACGGATTTCTGAATCCACAATTTCAACATGATATTGAGAGGTACTTTGGCAATTGTCAGAGATAGTCGTAACAACTGTTTTTCTCCTGGATGTTTTTTATGAGACTGAAGTGGCCATTGAAATTAGTCATCTACGTCATGGTCCTTGCCACTTTTGGTGGGAAGGTTCTCTGGCCTATATCTGAATGTTCTTGAAATCAGAAAATCTGACATATGCTATTGGAGACAGTCTTAGATGACTCTGGATTGACACTTTTTGAGTACTTGGTGGTGGCTTTTCCATTTTAGGATGTTCAGTAGCTGTGAAGCAGGTCTGTGAGACAAGGCTTATCAAAATAGTGCTGAGATTTAAGGAATATTTTTAAAGTATGTTATAAAGCAAGAATTTCAATTAACATGTGACTAAGAAAAATGTGTTCATATGGGGAAGATTTTGAGATCCTCTTGGTGTAAAGAAAAATGACTTCATCATACAATTCATACACATCAGGAATGAAGCTTTTGTAGTTGAACCGGGAATAGAAATGTTGTTGAAGGCTATGTAATTTCCTTCTATTTTTTTTTTTTTTGTCTCTTCTAAGGTAATGTAAATGCCCATTTGACAGCCTTGTTTTTGTTATGTTAAATGTAGTTGGGAGCTGTTGTTTGGACACTTTCCTGTGCTCTCTCTGCGTGATGTAAATGTTCTGCGTAATGACAGGTTCCAAGTCTGCTTGGATTGATGTGGACACGTTACTAAAATCTTTGCTCGAGGCTTCAGCTACCTTTCTGTAGCTAAATTTAGTGTCTGCTTTTTAATTCTTACCAGCTGTGCTTGGCTTCTTTACAACCGTTTTCCTTTCAGTCATTTCTTTGTTAAAATACATTTTTGCCTTCTACTTTTCCCTCTACCTTTGGCTCTTCTTTTTCAGTTTTTTTCCTGAGCGCATCTACATCCCCTGGTCCAGTAAATTTCGGTGTTTCCTAGGGTTTGCTCCTTGTCTCTCTTGATGTCTCAGTCTACACATGCCGTGATATTGTTTCAGTGGCTTTCGTTACTATCTATTGTAAATGCCGATGAATTCCCTGTATTTCTCTTCAGCCTCTCTTGTGAACCATGCTTGGTTTGTTAAATACATAAATATTTATTGAGCTGCTATTGTGTGCCTGCCATTGTTCAAGGTAATTGGGATAGAGAGCTGAATAAGACGTTGCGTTGTCTTAGAGGAAAACAGATAGCAAACACATCAGAAATTTCAGACAGCCTTTAGTCCTATGAAGGCAGGAGGTGCTGCAGAGAGATTTGTCGGGGGTGCAGCGGCCGCCAAAGGGAGCTGTTTGGACAGGCATCAGGGAAGCCTTTCTGGGCAGGCACGTTTGAATGAGCGATGTGCAGATCTAAGGCCTTTCTACCCTCACTGTGTGTGAGAGTCACCTGTGGACCTTTAAAAAATACTTAAACTTAGCCCTCATCCCTAATATTTATATTTACTTGGTCTGAGATGGGCTAAGAACTTGTACCTTTTAAAAGCTTCCCAGACTGTGACGTTAGTGTGCAGCGATACTGAAACCACTGATCAAGAGGAAGGGAGTGCCAGTCAGTGGGGAGAACTCAATTCAAGGTCTCGCTCTTGAGTTGTAAACTTTACGGAGGAAAAGATGTCTGTTGCATCATTTTTTTAAGTTATAATTTTTATTCCCGGAGTCTGATATGTCAAACGTAACTGGCATGTCCAAAGCTGAAATCAACATCTCTTAACCTCTTGCCCGCAGCAAAATGCTGCTGTTGATATGCCTTATCTCAGAACCAGGTGCCACAACCTAGTATTTGCATGGCTGTGTGACATCTCCTCACACATCCAGCTAGTCTTCCGTGCTGTTTGACTCTTCCTCCTAAGTATTCCTACCACCTCTCTTCCTCTGCAGTAGCCGCCAGTCCCGGCTCGGCTCTTTTCTCCTGGAGTCGCACCCATTTTTGCCCTGGGCGTGACCCTGAGTTCTTTGTCACTTCCCTGCAGCAGGCCTTTTCTTGGCCCCTGTTGTCCTCAGAGTGAAGTCCAGCTCCCCAGACTTGATTGGCCTCAACAACTTCTCCATTCCTGATGTAGCCACTCCCTACTTCCTCTTTTCTGTTCTAAGCTTCAGCCAGGCCAAAGTCCTTAGAGGTGTGGAGCGTGAACACACGCCATGTTAGGGCACTTCTACTTCTGGCAGCGACAGGGCACTCCGTGTGGAATACTGTCCCTGCTCCTGCCCGCTCCCTGACTGCTGCTTGGTCTTCAGGTATGAGCTTGGTGTCGCCCTGGTAAAACTTTCATGACACGTGCAGTGTTCGGTTAGTAGTCCACCTGTACTTACCCCCTCTTACCACTTTAGTACCACCAAAGTACTGTGTGATTTTTTCCTGTTTTATCACTGCTGTCTAGCAAGCATCAAGTGACAAGCAGACTTAAATGTTAAATAAGAACTTCAGTCTTTAAAATCAGTGAATAAATGAAAAGAAACTTCTGTTAATTATATATGCTTTTTAACATGACTGTTTTTTGTAGGAGAACTATGCCATTTTTGGGTCAGGACTGGAGATCTCCTGGATGGAGTTGGATTAAAACAGAAGACGGCTGGAAGAGATGTGAGTCCTGCAGTCAGGAACTTGGAAGAGAGAGTGACCAGTGTAACATCAGTCACAACATGTGAGTCACAGCTAAGCAGAACCCTGTCATTTGTGGCCTTATCTGTTTTTCAAGTTCTTGCAAAGCTCCATAATTTGTAGTTTGAGACTTGCACACCTAAAAGGCTGATGTGAAGAAACAAGTTATTTAGCTAAAGAGTAAGGCTAGTAGGTTGTCTAATAACTACATGTAGATGCTCCTTTCTTTTTTTTATTTAAAACATTTAATCCTCACAATAATCAGATAGGTATCATTATAGCTGAGGAACTTGGGGAAATTAGAAGACACAGGTTTTGTGGCTTATGTCAGAGATGTCATAATGGTGGCTTGTACAAGATGGAAATTTATTTTTCTCCTGTGAAAGCCTAAATGGGTATAGTGAGTTTGCTGGTAATGTCCTGTTGCTATGCCATCATCTACACAGTCCAGGGGGGTGTATCACCTACCACATCTGCATCCCAGCCGCAGGGTAGGTGAGACTTACCATGTACTTCCATGGCACAGCCCAGAAGTTGCATGTGTCGCCAACGTCTCCTCGACTAGCGCAGTAGCCGTGTGGAGGCTGGGGGTTGTAGTTTGTCTTCTGTGTAGCCACATGTTCAGATAAAAAACCAGGGATTACATGAGCACAGGAGCAGAGTAGATGGCTATGGGGTGAAAAACTGAAATCTCTGTTAGTGTTTGAGAATTTGGAAGATAAGGAAGGTCTCGAGACCCTTCCTTCTGGAATATCCTGGGTCTAGTCATTGATTTTATTGTATATTCTTACTTGACACTTGAATGATTATAAACTGTCTTTCACGGGCCATATGTTTTCCTGACAGAGGTTTAGTAGCTTTATACCAGAGACTGGTTTTCAAAGTATTTGAAACAAATTGATTTTGTATTGTAGTTATAGTGAAGATAACACATAATATTTTTTTTTTTTTTTTTGAGACAGAGTCTCACTCTGTTGCCTAGGCTAGAGTGCCGTGGCATCAGCCTAGCTCGCAGCAACTTCAAATTCCTGGGCTCAAGCAGTCCTGCTGCCTCAGCGTCCCAAGTAGCTGGTACTGTAGGCACGCACCACCGTGCCCGGCTAATTTTATGTGTATATATAATTTTTAGTTGTCCAGCTGATTTCTTTCTATTTTTTTAGTAGAGATGGGGTGTCACTCTTGCTCAGGCTGGTGGCGAACTCCTGAGCTCAAACGATCCACCCACCTTGGCCTCCCAGAGTGCTAGGATTACAGGCATGAGCCACTGCGCCCGGCCAACACATATTTGTTAAACTTACATGGTGGCAGCTCTCTGCCATTCTGAGATTTATTTAATATTGATCACTGTAAAATTACTTAAGGTTTATAATTAATTGTGCTGTTGCTACTGGACAATTAATGTTACACATTTATAAATTTTCTAGGTATTTTTTTTTATCTTACAATTTTTATAGCAGATTATTTAAATTTAAAGGTGGTTGAGTACATCTAGAAATGTTAGTTGGCTCACAGTTTATGCCTAATAGTGGCCACTATTAAATTTGGAGATTCTTAAGGTCACTGTTTTAGGATGGAGAAATAGGTTACAAAGTGTCAGTTTACAAAATTAATGCTTGAAATACAATGTTACTGTTACTTCTACATTAAGAAATCTGCATTTCTTGTTTTTTATGTAGTCTTTTTCCACATTTTAAATGTCTGAGAATTGATTTTTCCACGTACACAGAAAATTAGAGAACGCAGTTCTTCGCCTGAGAAACCCCGCGCCTCCGCCTTCCCCGCCCTTCCCTGCAGACCCGCCCCCTTGCAGTGTCAGCCATGCTGGCAGAAGTGGCTCACCTAGGGACAAGGTCCAGGTGTCTTCCCTGAGACCAAAGGTGCTACGATGGTGACCCACCCACCGAGGGGTGAAAGGAGGATCCAGGGACCCTCTCCTCACCGGTCTACCTTTTTTCCCTGTCTTCCTCCGACTTTTCTCTGTTCCTGCCACGATCACATCCAAACCTGTAGGAGAGGCTGTTGGTGACCTAGTGCTGCAGCAGATGTCTCACACGTCTTCCTTTCCCTGGAAGGGAAAGCCAGTTAAATTCAAACTGAAAATTGATAAAAAGGATAATGCTCTATGTAACCACCACTTGAAATCACTGTGTTAAATGGTCTTATCTTCCTCCCAATTCTTTGACTTAAAGTGGGCTTTCTAAATGCAGAAAAAGTACTATAGTAAAAGTAATCTAGGTAATCAAGATTCTAACTGACTGTGTTAATATTCTTTTTTGTAAATGATCATGAACATGGAGGGCCTTTGCAGATCCCTCTGCTTACCTCATTTCAGGATTAAAAGTTCACAGAAAGTAGGGAAGAAATTGTGTAATTTAACACGGCTGATCCGGGAGCAGCCAGCCAGTTGGACTTTGAATCTTTTTTTCTTTCTTTCTTTCTTTTTTTTTTTTTGAGACAGAGTCTTACTCTGTTGCCCGGGCTAGAGTGCTATGGAGTCAGCCTAGCTCAGAGCATCCTCAAACTCCTGGGCTCAAGTGATCCTACTGCCTCAGCCTCCCGAGTAGCTGGGACTACAGGCATGCGCCACCATGCCTCCGGCTAATTTTTTTTTTGTATATATTTTTAGTTGGCCGATTTGGTTGTGCAGATAATTTCTTTCTATTTTTAGTAGAGACAGGGTCTCGCTCTTGCTCAGGCTGGTCTTGAACTCCTGAACTTGAGCGATCCACCTGCCTCGGCCTCCCAGAGTGCAAGGATTACAGGCGTGAGCCACTGCTCCCGGCCAGGACTTTGAATCTTGATTCAGCTGCTCTTCGAAGCAACATTCATGATATTAATGAGGTTTATGATGATGGAGCAAATGTTAAATCCTGTTTTAAATGCTTAGGTCTTCATTTGAAAGATGCCATGTGTTAGAACTCACAAAGTGTCTTACTACAGAGCACAGTTTGATGTACAGAGGATCTGTCTTGAACCCTGCCTGAGGACGGGTGTTTCATAAGCTGTTGGTGCAGCCGAGCAGGTGGGCCAGCTGTGTGCAGACTGGAGAGGGGACCAGGTGAGAGGCGAAGCGTGCCTGCCTGCTGCACGGTCTGCAGCTGGGCACAGGGCTGGGAGCAGGAACACAGCGGGTCACAGGTCTACTAGACACTCCGAGGTTTGAGCTGGGAAGTGGTGTTCAGTAAATAATCTGGCTTGATTTTCTGTCCATGGGAGTGTTGCTGCCATGCAGGTTTATGTCAGATGACACATATTGTGTGATTTGTATAAAGGAAAGGTATTGAAGGAGAGTGCCTAGATACTGTATATGTCTAAGAGTTTCTAAGGGTTCCCCTCGGATTTCAGTGTTATTAGGAACCTGTTACCTATTAGGGCTGTTGAGATATACTAGTAGTTACTCATTGTCTTTTGTGAAGCTGACATTTGATAAGGGAGTGTGTAGTCACACACAGCATGTCGAGCTCTGCCTGGGAGTGGTGCTTCTTGGGATATTTCCTTTGCATTTACTTTATTAAGCATTTTTGCTGCATTATTTTTATTTATACCTTATTAAACACTGTTTGCTGTCCAAATTGGAATGTTTTAAGGTTTGTCCTGCTCCCTCCTCTCCGTGCTATTTCAAACTCCTTTACTCTGCTCTGACTTTTGGGTCCCTACACACCTCCTTCCCTATCTCTTCAAAACAGGTTTTGAGTAGAAGAGTGATTTCCTCAGGCTCCTGTTTCACAGCATCATTCTGGGTGTTGTGTTAGAAACAGACCGTCCATGGAACTGCTCCTAAGAGGCTCTTGATTAACCCCCGAGAGACACAGTGGCTTGGGGAGGATGGGTGGCGGGAGGAGAAGGCTCTCAACCCTGTGTGTGTTTTGGGGGCAGCGCCCACAGGCGGGCTGTGTGGGGTGCCGTGAAGATGGAGGTGACACCAAGGCTCTGGCCTGAGCAGCTGGAGATCCATCAGCTGCGGTGACATGTGAACTTGCATCTCCTTGCACACGTGCGCACGGGGTCCTGGGTTTGTGCCCAGAGTGCGACCGCAGCGTCACAGATCATGCACCTCTTCCCTTCCCAGCGAGCTCCTGGTGCCATTGTGTGTTCATCCTTTTTCCTGCTTTTTATTTCTTGGAAGTTGTTCTGTGTCAGTACATGTTGGTTTACCTCATTCTCCCCAATGATGCCATGGCTTATGTACCTAAGCTCCCACTGATACCGTTTTGGTTATTTCCTGTTTTTTATTATTTCCAGCAGTGTAGCACTGGTTATCTATATCTCGTTGCATACTTGTGTGCATATTTATGACGTCTAAGTTTCTAATAGAATTGCACGTTTAAAATTCTAGTGTTGCCATATTATCTGAAAAAATTTTGTACTAGTTTATACTTTGAATAGTAGTGCACAAAAATTCCCATCCCTCACCCTTCGTCCCAGATGCTGAGTGTGTGAACACAGAGTACACACTGCCGAGGGCAGGGTCTCAGGAGGGCGTGACAGCCGTGTGGGCTGCGCCAGCATCTTCACGTAAAGGTGCTGTTGGCTTCCACGCCGTCAGCTTGTGTGGGGCAGGGTCTTTTTCTGACGTGCACAAAATGTTTTGACAGCATTGTCTCTGCCATTACTTTAACTCTTTTAAATTTTTAACCTTTTGGTGGGGGAAAAGTTATAAATTTTGTTTCTTCATTTGTAAGAGTGAGTTTTGAAGGAATCTTTTTAAAGAAATTACATTTTTTCTGTTCACACTTACAAAAAATCATTGAGATGATAAAAATAGTTCATTTACAAAATGCTGCAATAGCCACAGTTTGCATTGTGCATCCTGAAGGGAACTGACATGCTAGTTACGTTTTCTTAATTAGTTACATTGTCTATAATTTTAGTTATCTATTTGGACCTTAAGCATGAATTCACTTTGTTTTGTCCATTCCTTCCGTGTGCCCATTAGCGGGTTTACAGCATATTTAAGGGTTAGGGGTGGCTGTGGTCTGGGTGGTGGGTGTTTGTTGGTGCAGCCCATCTTCAGCCCCCGTATCGTGTCAGCGTGGTTTCTCT